TCCTGCCTCAGCCTCCCAAAGCACTGGGATTGCAGGTGTGTGCTACCCCGAATTTCCTTTTCTTCTTAACTCCATCACTCCCACCTTGACTGAGAGGATAAAGCTTGCTCTGTGCTTCCTGGTCTCTGAGCAAGGGGCTGGGGAAGGAGGGTCAGTGTGCCTTGCCGGGCTGTGGCAGGAAGGACAGGAGTTCCCTGGGTGGCATCTCTTCTCCCCCAGGGAAAAGGGTCTGGCTTTGTGGTCTCCAAGGATTGGGCATATGGAGTCCTGATTCCCGGTGCACTTCTGTATCTGTACTCTCCTGTGTATCTTCCTCCCTCGGGCCAGGCAGTAAAGTCTTGAACACCTGGCTGGATCTTTAGTCCAAGATAAAGCCATGTTGTCTCCTTGAGAGATTCCTCACTTGGACCCATCCTGAATAGTAGTCTTCCTGTTGTCCCCCGCTCCGTGTGAAACAGAGGGTTTATTTGGATCCTACCAGCCCCCAGGACCCCACACCTGGGCAGCCAGCTCTCTGTGACAAGTCCCCCTTCAGTTCCCTGTCCACACCCCAACTGGCCAAGAGCCAGGAGAACACTCTCTGGCTCAGACAGTTTGTGTAGGGGTTGCCAGCACGTTCCCATCTGCTGTATCCTCTCACTCTAGTCTGACAGGGAGAGCAAAGCTAGGGCCGACCTGTCAGCTCTAGGTCTCAGTGTCCATCTTTGGCAGACACGGTGCTGTCCAGATCTGCAAAGGTGATAACCTGGGGGCTATCATCTCTGGGAGCAGGACAGCAGAAGCCGTGGAAGATGAGGTAGGGTCCGGCCTCTGGCCTGGTGCCCAGGTCCGGGATGTCACAAAAGTGACAGCTTCACACAGCGGGAAGCAAGCAGTAGGGCCAAGTGGCAGGGGGCTGATGACGAGCCCATACATAGTTGGGCCTGGAGCTTCATGGACAACTGAGGTTGGCAACCCAGCCAGCTTTGCAGGCTCCGGACAGCACCCCCACCTCAGGTCGAAGCAGAAACTCGATATGAGGAAGGAGTGATCAGGACTTCAGGGCCGGCCACCCCTGCCCATTGATACTCAGGGTTTCTGCCGGCTTTTTTTTTGGTAAAGGGATCCGACTCAGGTCCTTGTGCTTTTGAGGAGGCAGGCAGTGGAACCACTGAGCTAAATCCCTGGCCCCTGCTGTTGTTTTTTGTGACAAAGTCTTCTTATATAGCCCAGGCTGGCCTTGAACTCCCATGGTCCTCCTGTCTCAGGCTCCCAAGTGCTCGGATTGCAGGTGTGCCCCACTACACCTGACACTCGTTTGGGGGGGTTGGTTTTTTTTTTTTTGTGGTACTGGGAATTGAACCCAGAGCCTTCGCTCTGAACTACATTTCAAGCCCTTTTGAAATTTTGAAACTGGGACTTGCTAAAGAACTAAGGGAGCCCCCCACCCCCCACCCCGGGCAGGGCTTAAACTTGCAATCTTCCCGCCTCAGCCTTCCAGAGTCCTGAGATCACAGGTGTGCACCACCATGCCTGGCTTCACACTTTTTTTCTTTAGGGAAGCCCCTCCTTCACATGGATCCTTCTCTCCTTCAGAGCCAGGAGGTGCATACTGTATGGTGGCCCCCACTTTCACAGGTAGGGGACTGAGCCCTCCTAGGTTAAGGAAGCTGCCCAAAGGCATGAGAGAGCAAATAGCAGGGCTGACCATTAAATGCATACTTCTCCACATGGGCTATAATAACTGCGGTGATAAAGGTGCAGAGCAGTCATTAGTGTAGACGTGTGATGCACAGAGTGATTCCAGGTGGTGATTTGTTTAGTTATCCGAAGACCTCTCACTCCCGAGGTTAGGGTTGTGCTGGGAATAGAAAAGGTGGTGCTTCCCACAGCATCGACTGTGAGGACTCCAAAACTGGGCGGCTTTGAAAGCCTCACAACACAGGCTTTTACTTGGTCTGCTTTTTTTTTTGGTACCAGGGATTGAACTCAGGTCCTTGCGTTTTTGAGGCAGGTGATGGAACCACTGAGCTAAATCCCTGGCCCCTGGTCAGGTTTTGTTTTTTTTTTTGGTACAGGGGATCGAACTCAGGTCCTCAGCTTGTGAGGCAGGCGCCAGAACCACTGAGCTAAATCCCCGGCCCTCTGGTCTGGTTTTTAAACATTGAGATATTTTTTAAAATGAGATATAATTTGCAACCTCTGGTATTTATCCTTTTAAGGTGTACATTTCAGTTTTTGTTGTTTTCAGTACTGGAGCTCGAACCCAGAGCTATACACAGGCTAGGCAAGTGGCTCCATTACTGCAGCATGGAGAAGATTCCCAGCTCCTTTTAAATTTTTTTTTGTACGGGGGATCGAACTGTGGACCTTGGACTTGCGATGCAGGCAGCAGCACCACTGAGCTAAATCCCTGGCCTTTAATTTTTAAATTTTGAGACAAGGTCTCTCAATGTAGCCCAGGGTGGCCTCGAACTCACCAGGATCTTAGTCTCAGCTCCTGGGATTATAGATGTGCCACACCGGGCTTTTGGTTCACTTTGGAACTCTTTTCTTCTAGGAATAAGAGAACAATGAGGCAGGCACAAGCAACTGGGAACCCTCAGAAGGATGTAGAGATTTCAAATGAAACCGGAGTCAGTAAAGTATTACTGCTGCTGTTGTCTTCAGCAGGGAACTGCATTCCATGTAATATGAATATGAGATAGGTCAGGCATAGCAGCACAGATCTGTAATGCCAGCTACTCAGAAGGCTGAGGCAGAAGGGTTCGAAATTTGAGGCAAGCCTGGGCAATTTAGCAAGAGTATGTCTCAAAATAACAATATGACACATAGGTAATACTGTGTCAATGGTCAGCTCCCAGTGTCTGTATTCTGTCAGTTCAAGAAAGTAAGTCACAATGAAAATTTTTTTTGGGGGGGGTACTGGGGACCGAACTCAGGACCTTCCGCTTTCAAGGCAGGCACAGTGCCACTGAGCTAAATCCCTGGCCCTCGCAATGAAAATTTTAAAGAACCACAGTTACTAATCTGAGCAAGTTGGCACATGCCTGTTACAAAGTGACCTCAAGGCCAGCCTAAACTACATAGCAAGACTCTGTCTTTTAAAGACAAAAACCAAACCAAAACAAAAGAGCTGCTGTTAGTCTGGGGAAGGTTATTCAAGAACTTGATGCAGTGATGCACATCTGTGTTCCCAGCACTCTGGGAGGCTGAGGAAGGAGGATCTTGAGTTCAAGCCCAGCCTGCACAACTTAGTGACTTAGTGGCTCAAAAGCAAACAAACAAAGCAATGGCTGGGATGTAGTACAGTGTGAAGACTCTGGTTCGATCCCCAGTTTAAATTTTTTTAAGTATATAAAAAGATTTTTATATAGAAAATGGGTATTTTTTTTCTTTTGTTCATTAAGGAAAAGAAAAAAGAAACGGAATCACTGTATGGTATGAAGGGTTAGCATAGAAGAAAGTTTTGACACAGCGCTTTGTTAAACTCTAGAATGGCATGATGGGGAAAAAGCTTTTAAAGTTTAAATTTTTTAAAGTTTAAAATTTGAAATAATTTTTATTTTTAATTTTTTCTGTGTGTTTTTGAGACATTGTCTTGCTATGTAGTTCAGGCTGGCCTTGAACTCACTATGTAGCCCCCAGACTGGCTTTGAACTAGTGGTGATCCTCCTGCCTCAGCCTCTCTCCTGAGCAGTGGGATTATAGGTGTGCATCACCACACGTAGCTGAAATAATTTTAGACTTACAGAAGTTATAAAGAATCCCATAAAAGATTCATCACATAGCAGGGCATAGTAGCACATAACTGTAATCCCCAGGTATTTGGGAGGCTGAAGCAGAAGGACTGGAGCTCAAGGCCAGCCTGGGCAATTTAGGGAGACTCCATCTCAAAAAACAAACAAAACAAGAGGGCTGGGGACCTAGCTCAGTGGTGGAGTGCTAGCCTAGCATGTGTGGAGCCCTGGGTTCAATTCCCAAAAGGTGGGGGGGACCTCCCCTACCCAGATTCTCTAGTGTGAACATTTTACTAGTTGCTTTATTATTCTTTGCGTGTGTGTGTGTGTGTGTGTGTGTATTGAACCCAGGAACTTGCACCTGCTAGGCAAGCAGCACTCTACCACTGAGCTATTTCCCCCGCCCTCTAAATATATAATTTTGTCTGAGCCTTTTGAGAGTAATTTATAGACATGATCCCTCCTCACCTCTAAACACTTGGTAGATTTTCCTTAAGACAATGGCTTTCTCCTGCCTAACCCCAGGACTACAACAACGGAGAAATTAACAAATACAACACTACTATCTAATCTGCAGACCTTATTCAAATTTTGCCTAATATTCCACTAATTCCCATGAAAACAAACCAAAAAACCTTTTTTTGGTCCTGGTGGTTTCTCTTCAATTGCTTTAAACAGGAACAGGTCTCAATCCGCCTTTCAGGACCTTAAGGCTTCCATACCACAGGGCAGTTACTTTGTATCCGGTTTCTCAATTGGGTCCCGCCTACTTTAAAAAAATCAGCTTTGTTTGGGGTTTAGGTGTGATGTTGAGCGGGACTTGAATGGGCTCACTCTTCAGGTCCCTCCCAGTCACTTCCTCCTGATTATTCTCACTTTGGACTTCTAAAGTCCGTGCTGGCGATAAGCAGGAAGACTTTTTTTTTTTTTTTGGTTCCAGAACCAATTCACTTGTATTTCATACAATTTTTTCCCGCCCTTGACGTTCTTTCCCTTGACAAGTTTAATTTAATAAAAGTTTAATGAGAATCAGTACCTACTCTTTACAAACATTTGAGCCTTTAATTACCCTTACTCTTGTGTTGAGGATCTCACCTTTGCAGGGATGAACTCTGCCCTCGGTTTCGAAGACAAAGAGCCGCACAAAGGGGTGGGTGTTATTACAGCCATTCAACAAGTATTTGTTGAGTGCACAGTATATGTCAGGCTGTATTCCAAGCCCTGAGGATACACCAAAAAATCCCTATCTTGTCGGACGAATTAAACAAAACAAAACACAAATCAGAAACCAAGGATCCAGCGTTGTTAAACAGGAGAGCGGTTCTAGGCAGACGCAGCTGGGAGGCTCCGGATTCTAACACGGCCAATGCTGCCGCGGAATCCCCCGTAAACTCGTAGATTTGCTAAGTCCAAAGGCGCTGCAGAAATGAAGGATCCCAACACAACACCCAGCGCTGCAAGGGCCAAGTTTCGGAACTGTTTAATCCCTTTCTCTGCAGCGGCGGTGCCTGGCGTCGGGCTTCCGGCCCCGCTGGGGACCCGGACGGAGCCCCGTGCCGGGCCGAGCCGGGCTCCCCGAGCCGCGCCGAAGGCACCCGCGGGGAGGCGGCTCGGGAGAACCGGCTCTGCCAGGCGGCCTCGCCCACTGCAAAGCAATCTGGGTGGTTTTTCCAGGTCTCTCCCGCCCTCGCTCCGCGCCCAGTTCCCCAGTCCCTGCCCCCGCGACGCCCAGAGCCAAGGCGGGTGGCAGCGAGATACCTGCGCCAGGGCGGGGCGGAGCGGCGACTCCACACCCGCAGTTCGGGGAGCGAGGGATCCAGTCTCGCCCGCGCCCCGCCTCGCGCGCACCTGGGCCCCGCAGGGAGCGCGCGCTGCTCGGCTCTCCTCTCGAGGGAACCTCGCCCCTCCCGGGAGGCCAGGTCTCCAGCCTCCCCCGCCCGCGTCCCTGAACGGTGACCGGTTCGCCCCCGGTGCGCTTTCCTGCAGGGAGAGAGTGGTTTACCTGACTGCACAGCACGAATACGCAGGGCTGGACACCTGCGGCTGACGGAGGCCGACCTCAGACGAATCTCTTCCCAAGAACAGACCAACTGAAAGCAAAAGGCCCCAGCAACTCCATCTGTGGCGCTTTCCTAAAATGTCAACATAACCCACCGACTGCCGCCCGACTGCGGGAGTACGAACTCTGGGCGGCCCGAGTTGAGTTGGGGAAGGGAAGTGCTTTGGAACCTGGGTGAAGTCGACACACTCCAAATACAAAGTCAAAAGGCATAGCCGGGGTGGGGGATTTAGCTCAGTGGTTCTGCCGCCTGCCTCGCAAGCTCAAGGTCCCGAGTTCGATCCCCGGTACCAAAAATAAATAAATAGGCACAGCCGGGCGGGGTGGCGCACTCCTGTAATCCCAGCGCCGGGGAGGCTGAGGCAGGAGAATCGCTTCTAGTTCGAAGTCAGCCTGAACTACGTAGTGAAACCCTGTCTCAACAAAACAAAGTTAAAAGGCACAAATGGAAAGTATGAGGTCCAAGTAGAGAATCCAGGAAAAAGCTTACTTAGCCTGATTGAGGAAAACCTTTATAAGGCACGCGGGGTAAGTGGATTTTATTTAACGCTCAAGGCAAATCAAAGGAAGTGGGCCCTAGCCCTGGAGGGCTTTCCGGTCTTGAACTAGCAGCCGGGGCAAAGGTGCAGCAAGTAAAACAGGTGGGAGCAAGAGGAGCAGGGTCCTCCAGCTGCCTCGCGCGCGCGTAGGTGCGTCCTGGGGTGACGGCGGCGGCGCGCGGGCCGCTCCCCGAAAGGTGGGCAGCTCCCCGGGCTTGGGGCCGCGCGGGCTCCGCCGGGCGAAGGGGAGGGGCCGCGGCGGGGCTTCGCCGGCTGTTTGCGCTGAAGGTGTGTGCGCCCTGGAGCGGCTTTTCCGGGGCTCGCCCATTGCCCCCGCCACCTCCCGGCTGCGCGGGCCGCTCCCTCCCCCGGCTCGCCCGCCCGGGCGCCGCACCCCGGCAGCCCCGCGCCGGAGCCTCACCTCTGGCCTCTTTTCGTCGGACCCTTGGGGACCTTCGGCCGCGTCCCCCACGCCTCCGGTCACGTCCGGGACGGACCCAGCCCGCGACGCGGCGCCCGGCAGCCCTCACCCTTTTCCCCGCTGGCCTCGTCTGCCCTCGGGGCAGCCCCCGCCTCGTCCCCGCCCCTGGGGCCTCCCCCGTCCGCGCGGCCCCTCGCCGCTCCATTCATCGCGCCATTGTCTCCCGCCCCTCTCCCCTCCCGGGCAGCCTCCTCCCCCGCCGCTGCCACGTCGTGGTTTGAAGGAGCCAATGGGCGGCGCCGCCAGGTGTCTCCTACCTGCGCCGCGTGGGGGAGGGGCCGGGCGGCAGGTAGGGCCACCTCCCCAAACAGAGGTGCTTTCAGCCATTGCGCGCGCCGCCCGGGGTGCAGCCCTGCTCGGGCCCTCGCGGACGCACGGGCGAGTGCATACAAAAAGGGCGGCCCGCGCGCTCCTTCCGCCCCTTCCTGCCTGGGAGCGCGGCGCCGGCCAGGTGCGGGCTCGGAGGTGGTGACCGCCTTTCGCCCCGGCCGCCGCGAGCAGGGGGTGGGCGCCCTTTCTTTGGCTCGGAGGCGAGGTCTTCCCGAGCGCCAGGCTTCCCGTCCCCTCTCCCAGCCCTGCGCGCCGCCTCCCGGGCCCCTCCGCCCTCCCCACCTCTCGCCATGACGGCGTCTCCGGATTACTTGGTGGTGCTCTTCGGGATCACTGCTGGGGCCACCGGGGCCAGGCTGGGCTCGGATGAGAAGGAGCTAATCCTGCTGCTGTGGAAAGTCGTGGATCTGGCCAATAAGAAGGTAATTTCTCCGCGGGTTTTGTCCCGAGGCGAGGAGTGGGGCGAAAAGTTTGGAGAAGCGCGGTGGGTGGGGGAGGAAGCGAGTGCCCTCGCCTGCCTGCTGGTGAGGCTGGACCCGAGGCCTAGGGAGCCCGGAGGGAAACCGAACTTGTTGGCCCAGCGCCTTGGAGCCTTCGGAACCTGGCCCAGGTGGAGAGGCCCGGCGCTGTGGAGCCGGGGTCCCCCCCCCCCGGCCGTCACCGGGTGGCCTTCCCGGGCCCTGGGGTCCCCTCCCGGGCCTCGGCGACCTGATGGGGGTGGGGGGTGGGGCGGGGGTTGGGACGCGCCCCGCGAGCCCGGGTTCTGCAGAGCGCGGAGCAGCTCCGCAGCGGAGAGGGGAGCCTGACCCCCGATTCTCTGCCCTCGGAGGTGGGACAGTTGCACGAAGCGCTCGTTAGACCAGATCACTTGGAACTGACCGAGGACTGTAAAGAAGAAACTAAGATAGACGCCGACAGCCTGTCCTCCGCTCCACAGCTGGACCAAGCCCTGCGACAGGTGACAGCCTGGCCCATGCCACCTACTCCCACCCGCGCCCCCAACCCGGCCCCGCCCAGCCCCACGCCCTGGGGCGGCCGCCGCCCGGGTCTCTGGGGTGCGGCAGGAGATCACACGTGGGTGGGACCGGGGCTGGGGCCCCGGGAGGACTCGGGGAGGGGCGGCCGCCCTTCGCCCCCTGAGGCTCTGGGGCCCAAATTCGCTGGTGTTCGAGTCACTCCCGGAGCGGTTCCTGGGGCCGGAGAGGGGCGGCAGCGTTTGCCAGCCGCAGGGCGGTGTTGGAATCCCTGCGCCCCCGGCTTCAGGTCCGGACGCCAGTCCCCGGTGGGGCTCGGGTAGGCCTTGGCAGGGGGCGCTGTGGTGCGCGCGGGGCTGGAGGCGCCCACTGGCTTTTGTCGCCGCCTAAAAGTGCCCGCCTGGTTTCAGGCTCCGGACTCCCAGAGAGAGGCTGTGTCCCACAGCGTTGCTCCCGTGGTGGCGTCGGTCCCAATCCCGGGAGGGTTTGCAGGTCCGGACCTGTGGGCTGTTCAGTTGGGTCACCGTGGAGCCGGTGGAACCCTCTTTTGGGATTGAGGTGACCTAAAAACCGGCTGCTCGGGTACTGACGAGTGCCTAATGGGGCCGGGCGGGGCGCCCAGCACCTGCGCCCAGGTGAATGCCCAGGCTCTCGAGGCCTCTGCCCTGGCTCTCAGGTCCGAGTTGTCGGAGAAACTTATCACGTGGGAGGATCTGGGAGAGGTATTGCCCGCCTTTCCAGAAGTCTGTGTAACCACTGCACATCTTCGTTTTTTTGTAAATCGGAAACGGGTTATGTTTCTTAAATCTGGCTCATACAAATAAAAAAAATCACACCGGGGAATGATGTAATCTGAAGGCAATCTGCCAAAGAAATGAGATCTCAGATTTGAGTGAATTTATCGTAAAAATAGAGGGGGTGGAGGGAGGGGAAAGGCATTGACTCAGACGAGTTGGTTTGAAAGCTTCCTGTGGTTTGTGGGGAGTTTGTCTTCTCCCTGGTCCTCAGCGTGACTGGCCACTTCCCAAGAGTTGGTAAAGCCCGGTCTCTATTTCCCTCCCTGTGTTTGCTCTTTCAGTTTAACCAGTCAGTGAGCAACGAACTGAACATTGGCGTGGGGACGTCCTTCTGCGTGTGCACCGACGGGCAGCTGCACATCCGGCAAATCCTGCATCCCGAGGCTTCCAAGAAGGTAAGAGTGCGACTTCTGGAAAATGGCTGGGCTCAGAGTAGGACCGGAAGAGGCTTTTAAAGATGGTTCATCCGAACGAATCTACCTTTTAAAAGCTGCAACGGGGAGTTACTGTTTAAGTGGGTATAGGATTTCCTTTTGAGATTTTAAAAGCTCTAGAAAAGGATGCTGGTAACGTTAAGATGGTGAATTTAATGTATGTTTTACCACAATTAAAAATGCGTGACAATTTTATGGACATGTTTGGGACTGTAGTAAGGGGATTGACACAGGTTATCTGTAAAAGCAATCTCTTAAATTTTCAAGATTCTTGACATGCCCTCTTTCCAAAGCTAGCATGGGGGCTGAATTTTTGACACTTAATATAACTACAAGTAGGGAAGAAAAAAGGGGGCATTTTAATACATTGTAATATTTGTTTGTGGAAATGCTTTATCCTAAGAAGGAGGGAGCACCTGGCCATGGTGGTAGGGGCTGTAATCCCAGCACTCTGGGAGGTTGAGGCAAGAGGATGGCAAGTTTGAGCCCTGGTACTCAAGCTTGGGGGGTGGTTGTCAGCAGAAAGAAGTTCAACTAAACTTTTTAATTTTTATTTTGGGATAAGATCTTACTAAATTGACCAAAATGGCTTAGAACTTTTGACCCTCCTGCCTCAGCCATGCCTGGCCCTCTGCAAGACTTTTTATTCTTTTTTTTTTCTTTTCGTTTCTTTTTTTTTTGGTACCAGGGATTGAACTCAGGTCCTTGCGCTTGCGCAGCAGGCGGCGAAACCACTGAGCTAAATCCTCAGCCCCTTCTGCAAGCCTTTTTGAGTATGGAGTGAGAAAATTCTGTCTTACCCTGGATAGGCTGTGATTTCTCTCCCTGGGAAGAAAACTTGGAGGCCATGGGACAGTGACAAGCACAGACAGCTGCTCATGGTAGCCAATCATTCCTAAGGCATTTGCTCTCAACTTAAAGTAGTTTGATCTGTACCCTTTTATTGTGGTTGGCGGGCATCACAAGAGCTTGAAGAGACAGATTATATTTGGGTCGTGGAAGCAATGTAGATTGGCAGCTGGTGACACAGGCAAGTGTAGTCAGTGCAGATTTCCTGTTCATTCTCTCAAAGTAGGGAAAGCTGTGCAATTAGTTAATTGTGCAATGTTAAAAGTCTGCAGGAGGGGGCCGGGGATTTAGCTCAGTGGTTCCAGTGCCTTCCTCATAAGTGCAAGGTCGTCCTGAGTTTGATCCCTGGTATCAAAATAAATAAATAAATAAATAAATAAATAAATAAATAAAAGTGCAGGAGAAACTCATGTTCCTCTGCCTTGAGGATTAAGAAGGTCACTCCTTTGACAGGGATCTTAGTAATTGTTTGATTTTTTTAATTAAATGCTAGACAATTGCCATATCTTTGATCCAGAAGTAGACATACACGAGGGTGCTTTTGTCCCCAAAATTTATATGGGGAGGGACAAAACTTGATGCTTCCTGTATCGGGCCAGAGGGAAGCAGCTGTCTGCATTATTTTAGGTGAACTGCTTTGGATGTGGGGGAGTCTCCCAAGGAAAAAAGTTTCCCAGCCACTTCTATTAGGATTAATTAAATAGAAGAACCTAGAACAACTTAGCATCATGAGAAAAGTAATTCTGCATATTCACTGACAGACAAAATGGCCAAACATGATGAAAATAACAATGAAGTGTATTTCCTAATGTTAATATATTTGGATGTATTCTTCTAGGCTTCTATAGAAAAGCAGTCTTTTTGTAAGTGTTTATACTATACAAAAATGCTTGGTGTCAACATTTTTATAAGCACTGAATAAATTAGTATTTTAAATGGATACAGCTGTTTACACTGATCCTTCACTGTTGCATATGTGAGTCATTGTTGTTACAGCTTTTAAATGAGCTTTCTTGGAGGTAATTGGGAGGATTTGTGATTCTTTTCAGAACTTGAAAGCTAGGACTATGATGCAGTGATACTGACTTTAAATACAGCATGAGCAGGTCATATCTAATAGAATTCAATAGAAGGAGATATTACTGAACAAACATTAAAAAGTATTTCCTTCCATTTCCTAACCTGTAAATGGGTAGAAATTCCCAGTAAGTGAACACAAACTATTTTGAAATTTTGCCAAAAAATCTATGTCAGGCATGATGGTGCATGCAGGTTTGTAATCCCAGCACTCAGGAGGCTGAGGCAGGAGGAACCTCGGTTGGAGACAAGACTGGGCTATGTAGCAAGATCTTGTCTCAAAAAAAGAACCCAAACCAAAAAAAAAATAAGAACCTTTTTAAAGAAATTATCTTTTAAATTATTCATTGAGGGTTTTTGGGTCACAAAATAAATAATGGTGTCATATTTTCCCATACTATTCAACTTTAATAACCACAGAAGTGGTACTTGGGACTAGAACTATTTCTCCTTTGCTTTGAGATTTGTGATATATATTTTACAATTTTGGTTCAAGTTCTAAGATACGGCCAGAATAGTGGGCAGGAAAACCATCATGGGATTATAATTTGGCACAAAAATAATCTTTGTCATTTACCATTTTAATCTAATTTACTACTGAAAATATATATGATTAGAACCGCACAGTAGTTCAGCCTACTAAATTTTACAACTTATTTATGTGAAAACAAGATGCCTGAAAACACAGATGGTCTAAAATGATTATAGCTGGAAAAAGTATATCATTACACAGAAAGTTTATACTAATATAAATAAATATAACTGCCCAAATGTACTGTAGCTTCAGGAATATTTTGAATAAAATGCATAATGGGACACTAACATTGCATATCTTTCATTAAAATAAATTTTTTGGTGAGACTTACATTCAGGATCTAATAACAGGAGCAGCAATTTTAAAAACCACTTAATTAAGTTTTATATTTTAAAATATCGTGTGCTTATTGTTCAATTCTTAGGTTCCTAATTTTTAGGGAAACATTGAACCACATCCTCTAGTTAACAGTATCTACCTTGTCCTTCCTCAGAATGTATTACTACCTGAATGCTTCTATTCCTTTTTTGATCTTCGAAAAGAATTCAAGAAATGTTGCCCCAGTTCTCCTGACATTGACAAGCTGGATGTTGCAGCAATGACAGAGTGTATCCTTCAAATGATTAGTCAAGAATCCTTTTGAAAATATAGCTCCAGGGAAAAAGTGGTTGATTGAAGAAACTTCTAAATGCTGTAGGCTTTGTCAGTCTATGGATGAAATTATCCTGTCTAAAATTTGTCTGCACTCTGTTAGGAACTAAGAGTGCAGTTATAGGCATCTTTCAGAGAAGCTGGTAAACTGAATTTAAACAGTTAGCTGGATGGACTTAGAGGTAGATTTTTGTGAGATGATTGCTTTGATGCAGATCCCAAAGCCTTTTGTCCCCAATTACCTTAGTCTTAGGTTTACTTGAGAACTAGGTACCTGTCCTTTCCTTACCAGCTGCAGTTCACTGGTTACCTCTTAACCTCCCACAAGACTGTGGTGGTTTTAATGTCATCTGGTCACAAGTGCAAAGTCCTGAGTTCTATCCCTGGTACTGGAAAAAAAAAAATCTGTATAGGAATGACAACATGAGGTTAGGATTGTCCCCAGATTCTTTTTTTTTTTTTTTTTTTTTTTTGGTATTGGGGATTGAACTCAGGAATTTGTGCTTGTGAGGCAGGCATGGCGCCACTGAACTAAATCCCCGGCCCTGTCCCCAGATTCTTTTTTTTTTTTTTTGGATTCTTTTTTGGTTCTGGGGATCAAACTCGGGACCTTACGCTTGTGAGGCAGGCAGCAGAACCACTGAGCTAAATCCCCAGCCCTGTCCCCAGATTCTTTATATGCCAAGATAGTATATCTGATGCATTATATATTGTAAAAGTACATTTTATAATCATAAATCTTAAAATCACTAATGACCTATTACATTGCATTCATTAAGTCCTTTTTTTTTTCTTTTTTTGGTACCTGGAATCGAATTAAGGGCCTCACACTTGCCAGGCAGGTGCTGGGCTGCTGAGGTACACTGAGTCTTTAAAGTGCTAATGTATCAGATGGGAACCTGAGTAAAGGGAGTTCCTCCAAAGCTCCTGTGAGAATCATCATGAAGTAGAACCTAAGTTACTGTCAGGAACTTGAGGGGAAGTGCAGATTCTTTTTCTTAAACTTTCTCATTCACCATCAAGAGCTGAAGCCAGGGCCCAGCGTGGGGCACACAGGGCGCACACACCTGTAATCCCAGCACTCGGAGGCTGAGGCTGGAGGATAGCGGCAAGTTTAAGGTCAGCTTGGGCTCCATAGTGAGTTCAAGCCCAGTCTGAAGTACAAAGCAAGATCCTGTCTCAAAAAACAAACAGAAGCCAGGGATTTAGCTCAGTGGCCCCACTGCCTGCCTCGAAAGTGCAAGGACCCGAGTTCGATCCTTGGTACCAAAAAAACACAAAACAAAAAACCCCTAGAACTAAGCCAGGTGTTTGTTCCTCTCCTTATAATGTCATATTCTCAATATCATATCTCCAGATACAGGCACACTGAGAGTTGGGACTCAAACATGTCCAGGTTGGAGGATAACTCAGTCCTTAGTGTATGCCAAACTCTTTTAACTGAGAACAAAAAATACTGTATCTATTAAAAATCCGGGCTGGAGGACCAAAGGTTCAGCTCAGTGGTGCTGCGCCCACCTCACAAGCTCAAGGTCCTGAGTTCAATCCTCAGCACACACAAATATCAGGGCTGGGGCTGTTGGCTGTGTAGTAACGCATGTGCATGTACAAACACATAACACTTAGAAGTAGGTAGGGGAAGAAAGATTCATAACTTAATTTCAAAAGACAATTTTAGGGCCGGGGATTTAGCTCAGTGGTTTTGCTGCCTGATGTTCAAGGACCTGAGTTCGATCCCCAGTACCAAAAAAAAAAGAATTTTAGTAGGAAAGACAGTGTACTATGTAGTATTTATAAAGGGCCTTTTCGTTAGCGATTATTTCTGTACTTGTAAAAGTGTCCATCCCTACAAACGGGGTTCTGAGGATTGGGCATTTCGAATGTATTGACAGTTGAAAGAAAATTTGTTAAATGTTCGTCCACCTTTTTTTTTTTTCCTCCTAAGATGTTCACATATGTAAAAAATGGGGTCATCGGGGCTGGGGATTTAGCTCAGTGGTTTCGCCGCCTGCTGCGCAAGCACAAGGACCCAAGTTTGATCCCCAGTACCAAAAAAAAAAAAAATGGGGTCATTAACAAACTTTCAAAATGTTCACTTAGACTTCTTACTTGTTCTGTGCTGTTATTTTCTACATGCCACTATACAGTCCTCTTTAATATATGACCTTTAGGTAAATGGGTAGGATGCTGGGCTAATAATTGTATTTTTATTTGTTATTGGTACCGGGAATCGAAGTCGGGACCTTGCACTTGCGAGGCAGACACCAGAACCACTGAGCTAAATCCCCAGCCCAAGGATTTTTTTTCTTTTGCCCAAGAATTTTTAAAAAAATCTTTTAGGGTCCGGGATTTAGCTCAATGTTTCCAGCGTCTGCCTCGAAAGCACAAGGTCCCGAGTTCGATCTCCAGTACCAAAAAAAAACAAACCCAAAAATCTTAATACTGGCTCTGTAAGGATATGTTGGCAGTCCCTTTTCAAGTGCCATGGAGACAAAAATCAAACATTTGATGACAGCCAGGCACTGGTGCTACGCATGATCCAGCTACTGCACAGCCTGAGGCAAGAACCCCGAAAACTTGATGCCAGTCTGGGCAACTTATTGAGACTGCATCTCAAAATATCTAAAAAGGGCTGGGACTGTAGCTCAGTGGTAGAGTGCTCCTGGGGTGGATCCCCAGGACTGTTGGGGGTTGAATGTTTACAGTGAACAAAGCTGAAAAAAGCTAAGTTGGGCTCAGTTTCATGTGCATCAGATCTGAAATCTGAGGTAGGATCTCCTGACCATTTAAACATGCATTTATTGGAAAAATGATGGAATTTTTGTTTTGTTTTTGTTTTTTTAGATAGGGTCTTGCTATGTAGTTCAGACTGGCCTTGAACTCACTATGTAGCCAAGGCTGGCCTTGAACTCGCAGTGATCCTCCTACCTCAGCCTTCCAAGTCTGGGATTACAGGTGTGCACCAACATGCCCAACGGAATTTAACATTTTTTAAAAAATAGATTATTTAGGGTAGCTCAGTGGTAATGCATGCTTGCCAACCAGGTGCAAGGCCCTGGGTTTTATCTTTAGCAGCAGGAAAAAAAAAGGCTTAGTTATAGATTTATAGTCTAGTTGCTTTGATATACATTGACTGTCTTAGGTTTATAGTTTTATTGCCAATTAAAAAGTATATTTTTTAAAACTTAAATGTTGTGATTAATATTACATTTGCATGTTGTTTTCCCATATAATAGATTAGAAATGCTATTAGCTTTTCTTAGCAATAGTTATTTTCTTTTTTGTGGTGCTGGAGTTTGAACTGAGCTACATTCTCAACCCTTTGTATTTATTTATTTTTAATTTTGAGACAAGATCTTGTCAAGTGGCCTGGGCTGGCCTTGAACTTTTGATCCTCCTGTCGCTGCTTCCTATTTTGAGAAATCAGTGTTTCCCCGACTAAGCCACCAAACCAATTTCTGTGGTCAAAAGTTATGGTGGTAAATCTGAATATCAACTCATCTATGCAAAGTATTTCTACGGCATCTGAACTGAAGAGTTTTGTTCTTCCAGACCACTAAATATTTTCCTGGCTGACATAGAAGTGATTCTGCATTTGGAAACATAAAGATAGCCATTGAACATCCTCTATAATTCTGCCAAGGTGAAGTCATTGGTCTTGTTTACTTACCTGTTCCACGAGGTAGACCACTGGGGCAGGGAAAGAGGCTTCTGGTTGTGTTTTACTTTTTTTTTTTTGAGACAGGGTCTCACTTTATAGTTCAGGCTGGCCTTGAAGTCACCATAGAGCCCAGGCTGGTCTTGAACTCGAAGCGGTCCTCCCGCCTCAGCCTCCTGAGTGCTGGGATTGCAATCAGGCATCACCACACTTGGCCTGAGATTTGATTTGATTGATTGATTGATTGATTGATTGATTTTGGTTCTGGGGATCAAACTCCGGTCCTTTCATTTGCACAGCAGGCGGCGAAACCACTGAGCTAAATCCCTGGCCCGAGAGTTTATTTTTAATTAATGCTTTGGTGTTGGTGATTGCCAAGGCTTTGTGTGTGCTACGCACATACACTACCACAGGCTACACACCAAGCCCATATCCATGGTTTTTGTAGATGAAGGTATAGAAATGTGGATTTGTTGAGAATCTCTGACAGAACTGTGTGTGCTTGGGATGTGCTTGATTAACTTTATTCTCAAGTAAAATTATGAATTATTTTTCAATTGCTTTTTTTGTTTTAAAGAGCAGATTTAGGTTCAGAACAAAATCACGTAAAAGAGAGTCTTCATAAGACCCCTACTTTTTGTACACACACAGCCTCCCTCACTGTTAATACACTGCACCAGGCTGGTACATTTGTCATGATGGGGGAGCACCCCAGGTCCATGGATGACATTAGAGTTCCTTTTAGGTATTGTACACTCTTTGGGCCTTTTTTCTGTGTGTATGGGACTGAAGATTGAACCCAGGCCCTTGGCACTGAGTTGCCCAGGTTTGACTCAAACTCAAAATCCTCCTGCCTTAGCTTCCCAGAGTGTTGGGATTATAGGAATACACTGCCATAGTAATTCTTTGGATTTGATAAGTGTATATGTCATGCAGCGAGCATTGTAGTATCAGAATACATTGCAGCATCAGCATAGCATAGAATAGGTTTTTTTGCTTTTTTTTTTTGGTATCGGAGAATTGAACTCGGGTCCTTGGGCTTGTGCAGCAGGTGGTGAAACCACTGAGCTAAATACCCGGTTCCATTTGCTTTGTTTTGTTGTTGTTGTTTGAGACAGGGTCTTGGCATGTAGCTCAGGCTCCCTTAGACTCCTGTGTCCCATGCTGGCCTTGAATTCACAGTGATCTTCCTTCCTGAGCTTCTCAAGTGCTAGGATTACAGGAGTGTGCCACCATGCCGGGCCAGAATAGTTTTTTTTTTTTTGTACTGGGGATCGAACTCAGGACCTTGTGCTTTCG